GAATTTGAATTGAAAGATATTAACTTTCACTTTGGTATACTTCCAGTACGACACGAACGTCTTGCGCACCCATATCGCGACTTGCCGCTGACCCTAACTTGGCGAGGCCAGTTTGGGCGAGCCATATCTATGGACCCTTGGCGCGAGTCCAGTACTAAGAGGGTTTGGCGAGCCATACTAAGGGCCAACCTGCAACCAGGGATTTGAATTGAAAGAATATTTATCATTCAATTTCCTGTTATACTTTTCCAAGTACGACACGAACACGCTTGAGCACAAACTCGCGGACTTGCCGCTGAACCCGTACTTGGGCGAGCCAGTTGGGCGAGCCAGTACTAAGGGGTTGGGCGAGCCAGTACTTGGGCGAGCCAGTTGGGCGAGCCATCAAACGAGGTTGGGCGAGCCAGTACTAAGGGGCCGTTGGGCGAGCCCGTACTCATTGGGCGGGCCCGTACTCATTGGGCGAACCCGTACTTGGGCGAGCCAGTTGGGAGAGCCAGTACTAAGGGGCCGTTGGGCGAGCCATCAAACGAGGTTGGGCGAGCCATCAAACGAGGTTGGGCGAGCCATCAAACGAGGTTGGGCGAGCCATCAAACGAGGTTGGGCGAGCCAGTACTAAGGGGCCGTTGGGCGAGCCAGTACTAAGGGGCCGTTGGGCGAGCCAGTACTAAGCCGTTGGGCGAGCCACTCAACCACAGTGGCCTCCACGCCTGCTTCAAAGCTGCGCCTTGGCGCTCCTACGGTGCCAGCTCGGCACGTGCCCGCTCGGCACATCTAGTGCCTGCTCGGCACATCTAGTGCCTGCTCGGCACATTTAGTTACTAGTGCCCGCTCGGCACTGCACCCCCTCCACGGCGCCAGCTCGGCACCGGGGTGACTTTCCTACAAGTGCCCGCTCGGCACTGCCTGTGCCAGCTCGGCACGTGCCCGCTCGGCACTGCCTGTGCCAGCTCGGCACGTGCCCGCTCGGCACTGTTAGTTAAGTGCCCGCTCGGCACTGTTAGTTAAGTGCCCGCTCGGCACTGCCCTGCCTCGCAGTTCTCCAGCTCCAGGATGAACCTACGTACGGCCAGCCTGACAGGAAAAAAAACAGGGGAAGGGGGGTGGGGTTGAGCCACATGACATGCAAAAAACCGTGCGAAAAAAAAACGTGCAAAATCATGTCATGTCAAAATCATGCAAAAAACCATGTCAAAATCATGTCAAAATCATGTCAAAATCATGTCAAAATCATGCAAAAAACCATGCAAAATCGTGCAAAAACCATGCAAAAACGTGCAAAAAAACATGCAAAACCGTGCAAAAAACCATGTCATGTCATGCAAACATGCAAAAACCATGCAAACATGCAAAAACCATGCAAACATGCGGCGCGTACGCTGGCGTCTACACTGCGAAAAAACGTGCAAGCTGTTCGTGTCATGCAAAAAACAAGCTGTTCCACATGCCATGAAAAAAACCGCGCGCAAAACCGTGCGAAAAAAACGTGCAAGCTGTTCGTGTCATGCAAAAAACAAGCTGTTCCACATGTCATGCAAAAACCATGCAAAAACCATGCAAAAACCATGCAACATGCGGCGCGTACGCTGGCGTCTACGCAGGCAGGCGCGGCCGGAGTGCCAAGAACATGTTCATCCGACATGTAATCCGACATGTTGAAATTAAGCCTCTCTCTGTTATTTGTGAAATCTAAAACCGCCCACAGCGCATCTTCAGAGGTTATCATTCAGCAAATGTGGATTCTGCGAAAATTTGGTGGTTTTGCGCGGTGCGGCCACAGCCCTTCTGCTTGCACTTCTGCAAGGGTTTTCAGCTTGCTTCAATATGCAGGCAAAACGGGTCCTAGTCGCATTCTGTGCGTCTCGGAAGTTTAAGTTGCCCGGGCTTAAAGTGCTGTTTCTGGCCTTGTAAGTGCGTTTCTGTTGCGGAGCTTTGTGGCTCGAAAAGCATGATAAGTGCTTTCTAAGCGCAACGGTAACTCATAGCAGAAGGGTGGAATTCTCTTGGCCTCATTTGCTGCATGTGAGCCTTGGGTTGCGTCTCCGTCAATCCTCCGGCAACAGGATGCTGTGCTGGGTTAGGGCAGCCGCAGATATACTTCAGCTGCCGGCTTCCGGAACTTGCGTAACGCAAAAGGACGAATGGGGAAGATCAAGCTTTTCCCCACGCCTGAGTACACCAGCAAGCAAGCCTCGGACCCCGTGGTGCCCCTGGTGCCATGCACGGGCATCTTCCTTGGGCCCAGCAAGTCGGGCAAAACAGTGGCGCTCATCAGTCTCATCCTGGAGCAGTACAAGGGCGTGTTTGAGCGGATCTACGTTTTCAGCCCAAGCGTCAACATCGATGATGGCTGGATCCCCGTCAAGAAGAACATCGAGCAGGACCTGGGGGTGAACACGGAGCGTGAGCAGGCTGTTTCTGGCCTTGTATGGGCGCAGGCGCTCCCGAGGATCCCTCCAGTCTTCTTGAGTGGCGCAGTGGTTGACGTGTTGAGCTCCGTACCCAACTCGCCTTCCGGGCAGGAATCGAGCCGCGCGGAGTAAGAAGCGCTCAGTTCCTTGACCGACGCCTTAGCCACTGGACTAAGGCGTCGGCGAAAACATATGTAAACATGTTTGAAGGACCTGTCACCGGCAACATCCCGGAGGTCCTGGACAACGGAGAGGTAACTGACGGCACGCACGTCACCGCAGGGCAGCTGGCCCTGGCTCTGACGCCCTACGCGCAAGTAACGGACCTGGCGGTGAACACGGCAGCCTCCGGCAACAACGCAGCGGCCATCCAGTCCCTGGACGACCGGGTCACCGCAGAGCTGGCTTCGAAGCTGGACAGCAGCGCACTGGCGCTGGCAATCGCGCCTCCAGGAGCGGGTGCAGCGTGGTCCTGGCCACGCACACCGTGGGCGCAGTGAGCGTGGACGGCTCACCCTGACCCTGGCAGTGAATCCGTGGAACATCGTGCGCACCTACAACCTGACGCCCGGCCAAGAGCTCCTCTTCGCCTGCCGGTATCGGCTTGGCACGGCCTCCAACTTCGTACATGTCCGAGGCCGACAACGTCTACGACCCCCTGTACGGCAGCTTCGTGGGTGACCAGGGCGCCTGGAGCACGGCCAAGATGTACTTCACCGTGCCGCTGAACGGGGTCGCAAAGCTGCATTCCTGGCCAACCAGACGGCAGGAACGGTGGACGTCTACGGCCTCCAGATCCTGGACGCCACCCTGGAGGCCGGCAACTCGACGGAGGTCGAGGCGGACACGACAGCCTTGGCCCTGCTGCTCAAGCACGAGTTTCTCGACGGTGGGGCCGACGACGTCACGCTGGCCACCCTGGGTGAGGTGCTGTTGGAGCCCACCCTGACCACGCTGGGCAACTTCCTGGTGCGCTCCAACAGCCAGTAACCTCGGCCAGCTTCACGGCGGGCGGCTTCGAGCTGGAGGCCTTAGCCTGGAACATCGTGCGCACCTGCATTCTGACGCCCGGGAGGCGCTTCTCCTTTGGCTGCCAGTACCGGCTGGGCACGGCCTCCAACCTGGTGATGTACGTCAGTGCGGCCGACAACGACTACGTGGGCGTCACCGGCACCTTCCTCGGCACGGCCGCGCAGGGAGTGTGGAGCACGGCTCGACTTCAGCCAGAACACCCGAGGGAAGACCAGGTACGCCTGGTGGTCATGGACGTCTGTGTCCGGGAGGCTGCTGTGGAGGCGGTGCTCAACAAGAACGCCAAGACGGTCGGCCAGGCCACCAAGCGGGCCACGCAGGAGCTGGTGGGGGATGACAAGAACTTCGTGGTCACGAACGACCTGGGCAGCAACTTCGCCACGCCGATCGCAACGTACGGCCATTGTGGACCGGGGCATCCAGGCCACGCGCGTGGCCCGCAAGCGCGGGTAGTGGAGCGACCACTCTGAGCGAGCCGCGGGGGCCTGCAACGCCCGGCCACACGAGACGGTATACGGCACCCCCGAAAATGTGGAGAAGCAGCTGGCCACCGAGCTCCGGCTTCTACAGGAACGCCGACAAGTTCCAGCACAACAAGGACCTCACGGACCGGCGCATCAAGGCCGTGGAGGACGCAGGGGCTTTCCGAGCACCAACGAACGCGGCAAGGAGCTTCAACCCACAGTAGAGCGACATGCAGCAACTGCGGGCCGTGGACTCAATGACCGTCCGGAGCACCGAGGGCCAGGAGACCCTACTGCCACCCCCCCCTGAGACTGGACGTTGGACGATCAAAACAAAGGTTGGAGGGGCTCGATCAAAGTCAAACTCGTAACGAGCAACAGCGATTGCGAATGTTTGTTAACAGACCAAGCCACTGAAGGACAAAAATTAAATGCACACGCGGGCAAGGACCACTCTAACTACTATGACAAAATGTTCCCATTTGCTGGTCGCGTCTAGCTGGACAAAGCCTCTTTGGCTGGCTCGGCCCGCCCAAGTTCTGGCACTATCAGGGCACGGATGGCCAATTATTTGGTGGGTCCAGAACCGAATCGCACAGCCCTTTGAAAAGACCACACTGTTGGTTCTGCGATCTTGGCGAACAAATCTCCAGTTGTCTAGTGGTACTTCTACGGCTGCTTCCCTTTCAACATGTACACCAATTCAAAAATACGGAATCGTTTTTTTTGAAGGGCCACTGAACAACTGGGAATCAGGCGGTGTTTAGTGTGTAACATTTCCTGAAAATAAAACTGCATGTTAGCCCCAATTCAGCTGGTGGAGTCTGCAAGTGTAATCAACGATGCCCAAGGCCCTGATCTGGCCGGCTAATTGTCACTGTACCAACTTGGGGCCAATATGCTAATTGGAAAAAAATATTGCTCACCATGATCCACAAATGACCCGAGAACTTGGATGTGGGTTTGTCTCAAAATTGGAGATGCCGTTTCTGGTTGGTTGTAAAAGGATACCAAAAGGAAAAAACGTCTCCCACATTCCCATGACACTCACTCCAGGCTTGCCAGTGGCACGCACGCGGTCTGACAAGCTTTTGTCTGTGATTACATCTCTGGCTTCAATCTGCTTTGCCACGAAACTGAATACGCTGTACCAAAAAGCTCTGAGACAAGGAAGACACAACGCTGTCAGGGCTCATGGTTTCACGTTGGGCCAGTGAGCGGGACAAGCAGCCGTCAAAGATTTGCCCAGAAAACTCTGAATCTCGCTCGCAGTTAGATACTTCCACCGCTGCCTTTCCAAGTTACGGGTGGTGTCCGGTGCCTGGCCACGGAACAGCAACCCCAGCATGCCAAGGGGCATATCCTGCTTCGGGTAGGCGCTGCCTAGTTTGGCTTGCATGCCCCTCACCAGGCAACTGGCCGTTGCATCCTTTTGATACACCCACATGGCGTCCACGATTTCCGTTTTAGAAAAAGTGGGCGACAGCACCGCTATGTAGGGGTATGTGTCGATCGGCTGCCCCTTCCACCAGGCCAGTATGACTTCTTGGTTGGTAGAATTTTCCTGCGGCACCTTCTCCACATACACCGCAGCGGGCCGTAGAGCCCCTTTTGCCAGTCCCAGCAGCTCGTGGGGCTCGCTGTACTTGGCCTCATAGCATCGAAGGCACGGAGCGACCAGCAACACGGTCTCCCAGTCTTGGCCGCTCTCAACCTTTCCCGACCAGCTCGGGAGCTCCTCGATCCATGCACCAACCTGTTTCCAACCCAGGTGGCAGCACATCTGTCCCACATAGGCAAGAATCCACCGGATCTGCCCCTTTTTGGTGGATTCAGTGAGGGCATCGAAGGCTCGCACTGGATCGTGGTCTGGACCCCGCTCGCCAGTGAAGAACTCTGACAGGAAAGACTCTGACAGGAAAGACTTTGCCAGGATTGGGAGCTCCGACTCTGCAGCAGGTAGGATCTCCCGGAACCGCTCCTTCAGGTCCAAGTCCCCCGTCTTGACCGAGTAGATCAGGGACGGGATGTAGCCGAAATAGACGGCCTCCAACGGCGTCAAGGCCGGGTGCATGCCTCTCAGCCTCTGCACCTCAGCGCACCTGGGCATTTTTATGGGGATCGCGGTACGAGAGCTTCCTGCGCCCTTGCCCAAGGCCCAAGACTTGATCGAGGCCAGCGCTGGTGGGGATGTGGGCGCTGAACACGAGGTGTCGTCCTGCAGGGTCAAGGAACATCTCTCGCAGGAATCTCCCCACATCTTGGTGGCCATCGGTTGGATTGGCTTTGAGCAAGACGTTCAGCTCATCCACGACGAGGACGACGTCCTGCTTGTCCGCCAGATATGCCTTCAAGGCTTTCTCGCTGCAGCGCACCCGCTCTGCATCTTTCTTGTCTGCGGGCTTGTTCTTCATTAGACTCACAGCAATGGCCCTCAGCATAGTGTCCAGTACCTTTTCGCCATCGAGCTTGTAGACGAGCGAATCCCCGTTGAAGCTGATGAAAATGGGGAGTTTCTCCTCCTTCTTCAGCCTGTCAAAGACCTTGCAAAGCATTGTTGTCTTGCCGCCGCGCATGCAGCGGGAGAGCATGGCAGGAGGCACTCGCGGCTTCGTACTCTTTGTGACCAGTGGCAGATTGTCCTGGACTGCCTGCATGCAGTCATCAACGCAAGAGTCCAGCTCTAGGAACCTTTTGGGTCGGTCACCATCTGAAGGTCGCAAGCAAGCAGCGAGATTGAAGTCCTTGGCAGTGACGACCTGCTCACCTTCTCAGTGACAAGACCAAAAGCAAAAGTGGGCTGGAAAGCCACTGCCGGAGAGGGGGCATTGACAAGAAGAAACAATGGGGCCAGCTCCGCGGGGCGATCTCATTTGCGCACGGCAAGTGTGCCTTTTCTGCTGGGCCGTTTGCTGGAAGCAAGAGAAGCTGCAGTGACTTGTGTACTGAGTTGCCCTGTTGGTCAAAATACCCCAACGCACCAGCACTGGCGATCACATGAGCTCATCCTTCTGCAACAATCCTACAGCCAGCTCAAACTACAGGAGCCGGGAACCATGGAAACAATCCAGCACGACACCATCTGCAAAAGGTTTTCCTCTCCCTAATCTTTCTCTTGAGCAGCCAAACAACCCGCAAATACGCAAAGAACCAACCAATGCAACAACATAGCAAGGACGGCTTCTTCGGCTTGTTGGGCGCTACAAAGGCGGTTCCTTGCGCTTTCATTGAACAGGGCTTGCCCTCAAGTGTGTTTTTGCTTGTTGTTCCACATTTTGGGACAAAACGTTGGAAAGTTGTGTCCCGTTGCACTTCCTCACAAGAAGGGGTTGTGCCACAAACATGGCGAAGCTAACCCCCAGCAAGAACCTCACAACGCGTTTGTTGTCGTCACCGCGCAACAACACAATATCCCTTCCCCGATCGCGTCATTGCGACTGGCAAAAACCACCTGCTGCAATCGCAATTTGAGCCACGTTTCTTGAGAGGCACTTGTGGCAAAAAAATCTGTTCAAATCATCCGAGAAGCGCTGCATCAAAATAAACGTCAGCAATTACTATTACCAAGAACATAGCACAGCTGGCCCTCTTCGAGTTGCTGCATGTTGAAGCGTCTTCAAGGCATGGAAACACATACTTGATCACATATCCGTCTAGTATGAGTGAAACTAGCAGGCTTGTTTACAGGAAAGAATCTTCCCTTCCCTTCTCTTCCCTTTCTTTGCTCTCTCTTGCGCGCTTTTGCACTCACAGCAGCTGCAACACGTCCATCTCTGGGATTATACACCTACAACTCATGAGAGAGTATCTCTTCTCCTGTTGGCGTTTGGCCCAGGAAGAGCCGTCCTGAAATTTTTGTCTGCCGTCTTCACATGTGCTGCAAATCTGGAGCAACGCATTTGCCATGTCTGCAAGGTCGTCTCTGTGCTCCTCCTTTTGAGGCGTCCTGCCCTGCGCTCCCTTCCTGCCCTTCCGAGGCTTCCTAGTCTTGTCCTGGCATGATTTGGACAGCTGACTTGCGGTCTTCAGCAACCCATAGCAGCATTGCACTGCAATGAATTCGAGCATAGGAGTCGCCTTCCGCTTCACAGGGATCAAAAGGTCGTGGTGAGCATTCTTGATATTCCGGTTGGACTTGATGGCCTTCCCGACCTTGCTTTCGACACTAGCTTCATTGTCCGTCGGGTATTCCACACCATCACTCCAGCAAACTTCGAACGGCTCCAAAACAGCTCGCAAGTGCAGATCCTCCGTAGGGTAGATCTCCAAAAACGGGATCCAGGTGACGTTAGCACTCAGATTTCTTGCTATGCAGTGAAGGTGGAAGCGCGCAGCCAGGGAATTGGCCACCAGCTCTTCCCAAGGGCGCCCCCTTTCAGTGGCGCCCCTTTTCTGCCCTATCAAGTAATTCAGCAAATCTGGCAGGAGCCCTTCCAACGAAATGTTCCGCTGTTTCAAGTCGTTTTGGAGGGCGTCTTTGACATTGGTATCCTTACACCACCACAGCCGTGGAACCAGAACGGACTTGTTCTTTGGAAACGCTGCTCCTGCCCTGAAGATGTCTGACCACCTTAGTGAGGTTCCGGGCACAAACTGGTTGCCTTCTGCAGGCCATCGAACCGCCGAGCAAAGAACCAACGACAAAGCCACTTTGGGCTCAGCGAAATAAGGCGCTGCATCCGCGTACGAGCTTTCGAACTCATTCGACATGGCGTTGAGTGCAACCTGAGCAGTTGATGCCAACTCACCCCTGGTCTGGAAAGCCGCCTCCAAAAGCCGGGGTACCCCGGCAGAGAAGAGGAAAATTTTGTTGAATTCCTCCTCCTGGTACTGCGTACCCCTCCAGCCTTTCATGGCTCGTCTGGCAGCTTGCAGTGACAATGGCTCTAGAGCTGGAGCTTTCTGGACCTTCAGCATGGTGTACTCGTCGGATGGCCTATCTTGCAGGATATTGACTGTGCCTGCGGAAAACATGCCAAGCCCCTGCGGGAATCCGCTCAATATTTGGGTGAAGACCGATTTTTGTCCACGATGTTGGCTCAGTTCATCGACCTTTCTGTTCACAATCAGCTCTGCCTGATCGAGGAACAGTAAGCAAGGGCAGGCTGGTGTTGCATTGAAGGCTGCAGCCGTCACCAGAAGCCACTGCTCGAAAGCAGCTTCCTTGATTCTGCAACGTAAGCGAACCCAAGCCTCAAAGCTGTTGACAGCTGGCGATGATCGGCTGGATTCCAATATGTTGACCAAATCGCTGAACCTCGTCGTCTGGAAACCAATGGGTGGCCCTTGGCTCACCTCCACAGAGTAGCCATCGAAGATCTGGCAAAGGTGCCACAAGATGATGGCAGAAACCAGCAAGTCAGGATCTTTGCGCAGCAGCGTTGGCGGAATCGTCAACGCATCAAATACCAAGAGCCGCCCGCACCGTCGACTTTCGGAAAAGTTTGAGACCTTCGCCAAATGACGAATGAGCGATGTCTTGCCGGTGCCCCGCGGGCTGTACAAGGCCAAGACCGTCGGCTTGTTGGTCTGTTTCCTTTGGATCTCCTCCATTTGCTCCACAACACTCTCAACAACCGCCTCTCTTTCCTCAAAAGGCCTCTCATTCTTGTTGTTGATTCGGCGGTTCAAAAAGCGGTCTTCCAAGTCCGAGAGATCTGCGGCGTTAAAACGAGGGAGCTCAACCTGCGCGGAAGGTGCCCAAATTTGAGGTGGCTATGCATGAGGGAATGCTGGGAAGGACAAACAATCGCAACAAACCAAACACGCATCGGCAATTGGTGAGAAAATCGATGACTAGCAGGTTCCTTCCCACTGATTCATGTATTGCAAAACGCTAACCATTCACAACACTCCACAAAGAAGCATGGGTACTTAGTGCGAAAGCCGAGCACTAGGAAAGCGAGGAACACACGGGTACCAAAACCGAAACAAAACCAAATTTTCCAGCAGGAACACTGCCCATGAAAGCAAAGCGGGAGATGCGCGGTTCAGCTCAACAATCCTTTTGTGGGGCTCCACGCTGAGCAAAACCACTGAGTTCCCAGGAACCCCGTTCAGGTTCTGTGGATGTGATCAGGGCAGCCCCACTGAAAGCATTTCCACGGGGGAAATCAAAACCACACAAAACGTCAAACGGCACGTCTCAACGTCACCCGGCAGCAGAAATACATTGTGCACACTTTAGCCATCTCCTCCATGCTCGTGCTGTCGGAACAAAATTTAACCTTCGGATTGCATTGTGTCTGCAGCAGCAACGACCATGGCAGAAGGGTAGGTCTTGCTCTTCAAAAGGCAGGCGACTGGAACAGCAGGCTCTTCAATATTTGCGGGTTCCCCCTCGACTGTTTGATAGTTTTGCGCTAAACACTCACACCAAATCAGGCAGATATGAACAGGTACGGAGAAAATTGAACAACAGAAGGGGATGGAATGGCAGCAACACGGGCAAAACATCGAGCAAGAACACTGCCAGTGGACGCAAAGCCGGGAATGGTTGAGCTCACATTCATAGAATGCAATTGTGCCTGCAGCAGCAAGGACCCCAATGGGTGCAAAGACATCAGAGTTTGCCCTCCCTCTCCCCGGCAGACGGGCAGGTCTTGCTCTTTCAAAAGCAGGCTGGGGGCAAGCGCAAAATCACTCACAACGATCAACGGCACGTCTCAATCAATGTCGACCAGCAGGAATGACCGACCTCCAACAAGGAAAGGCAACCATCCGTTCATGGGGGCTCCATACCGAGCCTGCCAACGACACGAACCGCCGCAATCTGCAAAAATGCTATCTTGGGATTTTCTCATTCTGTGGATGTTGATCAGGGCAGCCCATTGAAAGCATTTGCGGGCCGCGGGGGGGAAGTTCAGAACCACACGCAACGACCCACCGCACGTCTCAGAAAAAAGTCAAGAGAAACGATTTTCCAGCCGCGCCTGGGGCTCCTTCAGCAACTGGATCTTCTTTGTCAGCAGCTCTGCAGGTCCGCCAGGGATGTTGTACGGAGCTGCCATCAGCTTCTCCAGTGTCAGCTCCAGCAGGGACTTGCCGGTGACGCCTTGCTGCCGCAGTGCGGTCACCGTCCGCTGGATGAACTCATCGTCTGCTTCCAGCCCGCCGTCAATCAGCACAGCCTCTGCCCAACTGGGCACCTGGGCCTTCTTGAAGCCCTCCACCTCCTCGCAGCTCTTGGCGAGCCAGTCCTGCCAGCACTCACCAACAAGCAAGCCTGGCGCATGCGAGCCCCCGGCCTCCGCACCACTGTCCTGGCACGATTGCAACCGGCCAAATTTACAACTGCTGATTGGAGCGTCCTGCTGCGGGCTGGCGCGCGAAGCAACTCCGCCACGCCCAGGGTGCCAGCTTGTCACCTCAAGAGCTGAAATTTAGGCAAAAAAATCACATCAACGCCGAGATCTGGACCTGTGCCTTGTGGGAATCCTGGCGGACCAATTGCACCAACTCGACTCACACACCCCAGCTGTGCGCACGAACCGACGGCCTCTTCCAAGCCCTTTTTGGTTGCTTTGGCCTGCGTCGCACGAAAACCGCTTGCGAATCTCAGACAAAGCACGCAGTCCTGCCTCCTCCACAAACTCGCGCAGTTTTTGTTGCAACTCGTCTTTCTTCCCTGAAAGGGTCCACTTCCCTGGATATATCTTCTGCGCTTTTCCTGAGCTCAACACTTTCACCGCTCTTGCAACCCCGACCCACGTGCTGCTCCAGCGGCGCAAGACGGCTTTGGTCTCTTTCACCGTGCCGTTGTCCTCCAGCACCCTGTCGGCTTCTGCGACCACCTGAGCGAGGCCAAGCTGGGACGTCGCTTTCTCTGAAGGTCCGCCGCCTCCTCGAGATCGCGCCGGTCCTGACAACCAACAAGCCCAACGTTCAAGCCCGATGCACGTGTCCCCCAGGCCTGGCCACTGTTGTCCTGGCGGCAACCGGCAAACGATGCGAACAGGCTTCGGGTCGGAGGAGTCCTCTTGCGCAGCCCCGGCGCGCCGAGCGACTCCGGCATGCAACGGGTGCCGTTTTGCCTGAAAGAGCCAAAGTGCAATCTGCTTGCGCCTGCGGGCAACTCTGAGAACTGGGCCAATATGCCGTCCTGGCACTCAGCACGAAACAAGAACATCCAAAGGAGGGACTTCATGCTCCTTCAGCCCAGGAACTCCTCGAGCAAAGTCCTGGGCGGCGACAAGGGACTCCTGAAACCCGAAAACCTTCGGGAAAAATATGTCCCAAGACCCAGGCCGTGCTCGGCTGCACGAGCAGCGCCAATGCGATCCCGAGAAGGCAGAGGCACATACCTGGCCGCTGCCCACCGCGGGCACGGTAGCGTCACAAGCTTGCCAGCCTCGGCTTTTGGTCCTGGTCCGCATCATCGCCATGGCTATTCGAAAAGCGCTTGAGCGGCCTGCGATTCCTCAAGCACTGGCACTAGACCTATCGGGCAACCATTGCGAGCTGTTGTTGTGTCAGTGTTGATGAGTACCCTCGAGCCAAGTTTCCAGAGCAAACACAAGATTGACTGGCTTCTTTGGCAACACCAACGCACGGGTTTGGATGCTCCTCCTCCTTTTCACTCGCGGCCTGAAGGTCGGTCGGGCCAAGCCTTGCAAGGCTTCGCAGCGTCCATCCGTCAGACTGGCTGACCCACATCCTGCCGCTGCATCAAAGTCCAAGCGAGATACCAAACTGGCCTGCCTGCAAAACAAGCAACCGAAATCGGCACCGCGGAAGTCACAAGCTGTCGTGCCCTGGAGGGCGGGGGTTTCAGGGGTCTCTGAAAGTTTTGAGGTTTCTGGGGCGCCTGGCGTTGCTGGGGTCCCTGAGGTTCCTGGGGTCCCTGGATGAGACGCTGTCAGAGGCAGGCATGGCTGCACGCGGAGCGCCAAGCTGCAGGCTCCGCCAGTCCTCCACGGACTCCTCCTGCAGGAGGCGCCCCAACGCCTCCATGCGCTCGGCGTTAGTGCGGCTCTTGGCCTGCGCCATCACTGCGTCGGCCACCTGCAGGGCCTTTGTGTCACCGGCCAAGACGGCGGCCTGCAAGTCTTCCCAGTCAGACTTGGCCGGCTCGCCGTCACCCTCACGCTTGCCGCGGGCAAGGTCGCCGAGATAGCCCGCAACTGCATTGAAGGACATAGCAACAAGATCCACAAGCAACTTTCAGATTTCAGCCAAAATCAGCTTCGCAAGCCCTCACATCCAAAGTCTGATCAACTCGTCTGCCAAATTCTGACCAACTCCTCTGAAAGTCACATGTGCACATGCTGCTGCTGGAATCTGCTGGGCACCAGGCGTCTTCTACTGGCCCGGCCTGGGCCGACAAGCGTCCCTGGGGCTGGGGTCCCTGGGGTCCCTGGGGTCCCTGGCGTCCCTGGGGTCCCTGGGGTCCCTGGGGTCCCTGGGGTCCCTGGGGTCCCTGGGGTCCTTGGGGTCTCTGGGGTCCCTGAATTTTCTCGGATTTGCGGTGGGCAGTATCTGAAGCACCCAAGGTCCCTGGAGACCCTGGGGTTTGTGGGGTCCCTGGGGGTTCTTGGTGGGCCCCCCTCAAACAAATCCGCACGAGCGTGCTTGGGGTCCCTGGGGTCCCTAGGGTCCCTGGTCCCTCTGAAAACCCTGGGTACCTTTCAAAAATGTTAAATCCGGGTCAGGGCACCAGGGACCCTAGGGACCCTAGGGACCCTAGGGACCCCGGGGACTCCGCAGGTCTTGGAAGGGGGGGAGCCTCTGGGAAGTGGCGTGCCTTGAACCTCCATTGAACAAAGTCGTTCTGCTACGCAAACCAAATCAACGTAGACTATCAGTCTAAAAATCTGCAAATCTAGAAATCTAATAATGTACAGATCTATAATTTGATAAATCTACAAATCTAAACATGTATGAATGTATAGTTCTACAAATCTAGAAATCTAATAATGTAAAGATCTATAAATTGATAAATCTACAAATCTGAAAATATATGAATGTATAGATCTACAAATCTAGAAATATAATAAAAAATCGATCTATAAATTGATAAATCTACAAATCTAAAAATCTATGAATGTATAGATCTACAAATCTAGAAATATAATAATATAAAGATCTATAAATTGATAAATCTACAAATCTAAAAATATATGAATGTATAGATCTACAAATCTAGAAATATAATAAAAAATCGATCTATAAATTGATAAATCTACAAATCTAAAAATCTATGAATGTATAGATCTACAAATCTAGAAATACAATAATATAAAGATCTATAAATTGATAAATCTATGAATGTACACAAATAAATAGATCTGTATCTACTGAAACCGATACATGATCAAAAACCACTTCACAAGTCGCTTCCAGCAAAAAACCTGCAATTGACCGCAGGAATGTTCGTTGCACCCCACCTTGTCACCCCAGGTACCACAGGGTGTCCCCGGGTGCCTAAGGTCCCTAGGGTCCCTAGGGGTCCCCTGGGGTCCGCAGGGTTTCCAACGACGCTTCAGATTGACGGATGCTTGCGTCAAGAACGCTAGGGAACCTTCAGGGACCCCAGGGACCCTAGGGACCCTAGAGACCCACAAACACAGGAAGATCCACGTGGCCTCACCAGGTCAAACTTGGCAAATTGGACCAGACCATGAAAACGCCGCGCAACCTGCACAGGAGTCCTGTAGAACGAATTGTGGATCCACCTTGCAAGCGGCCAAACAAAATGTGAAAAAAAAGCAACTCCAAAGGGCCGCACCGTGAGAAGATCTGCACGTCGCAGTGGATCCTGGCACCTGGCATGTGACGTGATTGCTCGGCGGGTCAAACATAAAGGGAGCCTGACAGACGGTGAGTTGAGCAAGAGCCTCACGGATCACCTCAAAAGATCAGCTGCGCTTGGCGACGGCAACGGAAACAGCAAAAGGTCCGGGCAATGTAGATCCCGCGGTTAAACAAGCCTTGGCACGAGAAGCAAGGCTTGTTGGGCCCAAACCTCCAAGATCAGTTGGGCTTGGCAGTGGCAGCGCAAACAGCCAAGCGAAGGCCCAGGCGGTAGATCTCGAGGTCACAAAGCCTGTTGCGGGACGCCGTTCTCCAACTCCACACTCTCTTCTCTCTCTCTTCTCTCTCTCTTCTCTCTCTCTTCTCTCTCTCTTCTCTCTCTCTTCTCTCTCTCTTCTCTCTCTCTTCTCTCTCTCTCTCTCTCTCTCTCTCTCTCTCTCTCTCTTCTCTCTCTCTTCTCTCTCTCTTCTCTCTCTCTTCTCTCTCTCTTCTCTCTCTTCTCTCTCTTCTCTCTCTTCTCTCTCTTCTCTCTCTTCTCTCTCTCTCTCTCTCTCTCTCTCTCTTCTCTCTCTTCTCTCTCTTCTCTCTCTTCTCTCTCTCTCTCTCTTCTCTCTCTTCTCTCTCTTCTCTCTCTTCTTTCTCTCTTTTGGGGTCGAAAACCACTGCCCTTGCACCTTGCGAGCGAGTTCCCCCCCCACCGCCCCGGACCCAAAAGTGTCCCCAAAAGGCTGCGGCAAGTGCTCACACCCGACAACGTAAAACCGTGAGAAACAACAGCAAGAACCTGTCATTTTTTTGTGCGCAAAACCCGTGCAAAAACAGAGTTTCCGGAAAAAAATGACAAAAAAACACCCCTTTTCCGGAAATGGCTCTCGAGCCGCTTGATCTGGGGCCGACACTTTGGTCGGACCGTTTGTTTTGTCCGCCCTATAAGAAAAGAGACCGGCAACCCAGTCAAATTAACTGCCATCGCCAGCAACATGACAGTCGGGGAGGTGCAGACCTCCCCCAAGGGAGCCAAGTCGGCGCCGTTGAGGTGCGAGGGGAAGCCCATAGTCTGGCAATCCGAGTGGACCCACATGCTGTGGGAGCAGCTTTGGCAAGGACCAAGGACCCAGGCAGCAGAACGTGTGCCTTGCCATGGAGAGAGGCTCCGAGGCCTGGGGGGCCTGGGATGACTTCGAAAAGAAGTGCGTCAACGAGCTGTCTTTGCGGCCCAACCGCATCGGAGCGACTGCGGCGATGCAAAAGACAGGTGGCAGAGCTGCCTCAAAGAGTCCTGGCAGGGCGCCACCTTCCTGAAGTGCAAGCTGGACGCACGGAACGTCCGTTTCTGGGACACCGACGGCAACAAGATCCAAAGGCCCGAGGCCCTTGCCGGCTGCAAGTGCCAGGCCCGCGTCGAGGCCAGGCAAGTCTGGATCAGGTAAGCAGTGTGGTTTGGTGTTGGAAGCGAGGGATCTACAGGTGAAGCCCGGTATGGGTGGGGACTCCTGTCCATTCTAAACCGGGCACACCCAGGACTGACAGATGAGACTGCAAGCCTCTCTCTTTAGAGGGAGATTCCCAAATGGCGTATATTCTACCTGAGAGGCTTCTGACACTCGTCCGTCCAGCATTTGACCTCGTCCTGCGAAGGATTCGAAGTCTAAAACGCTGCGCGCAGGCGTGTGGCTGCAAAATAGAGACCCCTAGATATGCTTGCAATTTGGCTCCAGGTTGCATTTCAAGCGAGCCAAGCTTTGCAGGGCTAAGGAAAAACAAAAAAAAATCAAAAAAAAGGGGTCCAAAAAAAGGGGTCCCCGAAAAAAAGGGAAAAGGGGTTTCCTTTGGCAAAGCTTGACATCGCTTGAAATGCAACCTGGAGCCAAATTGCAGCGCATATCTAGGGTCTCTATTTTGCAGCCACACGCCTGCACGCAGCGTTTTAGACTTCGAATCCTTCGCAGGACGAGGTCAAATGCTGGACGGACGAGTGCTAGAAGCCTCTCAGGTAGAATATAAGCCATTTGGAAAACCCCCTCTACAGAGAGAGGTCGTGCTGGCCTTGGCCAGGGAATTTGAAGTGTGTTACTTTTTGACACACTGCTGAACCCCCAGGATTCCTTGCTA